ATCACTATTTGTATAACATTCAAATATAAAAAAATATAATTTCAATGTCTAAGCAGATAAACTTAAAAAAAATACAAAGTCTTACCATAAATATTGTTACATATTAAATCAACATATTTTATTATTTAAAGCAACATTTATCACTATTACGGTGTGTAAGTTTAATACTTTTATATAAAGCCATTGATATATATATATTGTTAATAACAGGAACAAAACAATATAATTTAAACACGTGGCTGTTTCTTGAGATGAAAACACAGACGAATTACTAATACAAAAATAGTCTATGAAAAAGTAGCCATAGACTCAAACAAACAAATGTTATTATTTGAGAACTGGTGGCGCTAGTATCTGTACAAAAATGTAATTTAATTTCGATATCTATAAATTACAATATATATAAGCTATATATTCGAAGTGGTGTCCATTAGCTGCAATACAGTCATTTAAACCTTATCAATAGACACACGCACTCTTTCCATGAGAAAATTCTCAAATGCCAATCATATGCATTGTTTTAAACATGACCATAAATCATAAAGCGGATTTAGATCTTGACCAGATGAGGGCCAGTCTTGAGCTCTGATGAAAGGTTCGTTTCTAACAAAGATTGGGTGGATCGAGCTTTATAACCTGGCGAATAAGGTGTTGTTAAGGGGCTTAACTACCTTCTTGAGAATGGTATCTTGATACACTTGTGCCGATGTTTTGATGCCCTATTCACAAAAATATGACTCGGTCACTCCATCATAACTAACACCCCACCAAACCAGCACTGAAGTTGGATAATGCCCGTGAGCATTATCCGATATATACAACGTGTTGTACTCTGTTGCCTAATCGTAAATAAAGCTTCTTTAGAGTTAAAATACTGCTCAATTATAAAAAAAATATTTTCCATAAACAACATTTTTCTGTGGTCTCCCTTTGTGTACTGCTTAAGTAGTTGTTTTGATTTTGCCACTTCATTCTTTTTAAATTATCGGTTAAGAGGTGACCAGTGCTTCTCTTGTAGGTGCGCAAAGCGTTCAAAATATTAGTTAAAGAGCACTATTTATCAGTGAATTCATTACAGCAATCATAATCCTAACTTTGCATATATATATTCATTTAAGCGGAATTCAACATTAATTCATTTAAGCGGAAACTAATAGAATACTTACTGTCTCGTTAACTTATGGCACAGGTACGATTACTTATTTGATTGTGTAGCTTGTGTGCGAATTCATTGATTAGATCTAAGCTATTTCTATATGTGGAAACCTATAATTGGCTTAATGTTTTTTATGCTGAAATCTATCATGTTTGTTTAGCTGTTGGTTTTCCAAGAATAATAAATATATATATATGCATTTATATATGTATTTGTATGCCTATGTAGTCACATATACATACATAGAAAATTGTTTATTTATTATAAACAATTTTCCTGCTCAACATAAAATGTTTTTGTTATGTAACAGTATAGACTTCGTTATGCACCATAGACTACCCAATTTTTCAACTGTATCCTGTATGTTATGTTAAGGTTTCCTGGAAAAAAATGCTTTGTACTGTTCTATTACATTATTATGTATTGTTTATTTACTTATTGTGTGTACAATAAAGAGTCTTTCATCATTTCATTCATTTTAGTCCCAATTCATCTTTTGAAATACGCTACATAGTTCCGAGTACTATTTTCATCTCCCGAGATATTTTTTTTGCATTCAGACAGGATTTCTTCGAATTCTTTCCCTTATTGCTTTGATCGCTTTTTTCGTAAAAGCACTACCGCTAATATTTTTCTATCAAAAACAGAGGAGGTTTCATTGTTCTTATCAATAGCCCAGTACACAAACATTTAGCTAATACCAAGGTTTTGAAAATTGTGTTTGGCTCTATACCTACTTTATATAATGCAATCACAGCGATGCGATTCTCTTTATCATTCCACTCCATTTTAATATCAACAAAAATATTTTATAATTCATTGGCGCGAAAATAAGAAAAGACAGTGAATAATCATAAAAAATGATAGATTCGAAATTCAAACATAAGTTTCTGTTTATTTTTAATTCTAACAGTATTTACGTACAGACTAAGTATACACACGAAAATGAGTTCGATGTTATTGAAATAACGTAATTAACAGTGGACTGAAAAAAGTTTTATGCAGTAATATTATGCTGATACAGTGACGTCACACTTTCATCGCAAACAGTCGATTGACGTTAACGAACAACAGTGATAATGCCGTGAGGCTATTTTTACTCTGTTGCGGGTATATTTTTATCTAAATAGGATGTTATGGAACAACGGACGTCACCATAGGAACGGTGATGAAACACCGGCAAATACGTCACCACGCCTCCAAAAGTACCCGAGACTTTAATCAGCCGCAGCTTGACATTACCGGATTTACATTAAACATCTGTTACATAACAGAGTTTTTGTTGGTAACCACAAAATAAAAAATATTTTTATGTTGGTAACAGTAGCTTATGTAACTCTTGCTTAAAGGTATTTTAGTGTGACGTTATGTAATTCGAGTTTATGGATAAAATAAATATCTTGGATTAATTTTTCAGCGAAGATTACCTTAAACTTTTACCTCTTAAACCTGAAAATTATATTTCGATAGGAGATTTCTTTTGTAGGAAAATAGAGCACCCGCCATGAAAGTAAACCCTGCGCATAAACTAAAAATATAAAATAAAATTAAGTCAGATTTCAAAAAATCTTAAAAACTAATATTATTTCTAAGATGGTTAGTATATCCATGAAAATTCTATATAAGTCCAACAATTAATAATAAAAAAATGCGCATTTTTGGGTCTATTTTCGTGCTGGGTACTTTCTTAAAAACCCTGGTATTCTAACTCTCATGGAAGTAACATCAATATAATAGTGTTTTAATCTCAATTAAACAATGAATCAGCTCCGTATTAAAATTAATTAAGTAATCTGTTCCAATTATAAATACGTATTTAAATGTAAGAGCATGCATTTGCCAATCCAGTGATATAGAGGGCTCTGCTAAAACAAAGTTCATATTGGCTCTACTTCTGTTTCGAATACAATTCTATTTAGTTTCAGATTGGTTCTTGGAAAGAAATAAGGTTCTTTATAGAATTATTATCTGCATGTTTTTATTTCTTTAAGATGTTTGTTGGCTCCACCTTTGTTGCGAATTATTATTTTTTTGTATTAATTTATAACATAAATTCCATAAAGCTTTTATAACATACACCTTTACATTATTGAATTTGTAAAATGACAGGTATGCTCTGCAATTATTTGTGAAACCAATAAATGTTTCATTAATCATTGAGATTAAGATAAAATATACATTAGCGTCAACGAAGTTATAACATTTTGTGAGTTTAAATGATCACGTAATGGCGATCATGATCAGTGTTGTAACTTTCGCTGTTTCATTGCCTACACATAATAATGCGTTTAACGTAGGCGCCGGATATGTGTAGGTTTTGCCCTTAGGAATTTTTCATGGAGTAAAAATGTTTTACACCAACAGAAATTGGAAGACCCACAGGTGCCCATTTTCAGTATTTATAATAAATTTATTGAATGTCATGTTATGACATTTTTGATATCTTTCTTATTTACCTTCTACCGAAAAGAATAATAAGCTTTTCTACGAAATCTGCTGGGCTATATTGGGAGTTTTGATAATGTAATTTCAATCAACCAGAAAAACGTTTTCTGGTTGATTTGAAATGGTACAACCTCTCTCTAATTAGCTATTATCAAAAGAACAATTTTCCAAGTTGTACTTTAGTCCATTCCTAGGACAGCGGGTAAAAAAGTATACTTTGTCTCAAAGTAATACTGTACAACTTACAGATTTGCAGTAATGTCCGAGCTAATTTAGTTAAGTTCTGTCAAAAAGCTATTTTGAGGCGCATTATCATCATCAGCCCCTTTACGTCCCCACTGCTGGGGTTCAGGCCTTCCTTGTGGATGGTTAAAGAGAATGGGCCATCGCTGGCCCAATGTGGATTGGAGGGTATTAACGACAGTCAGTGCAGCCCGGACCAAATGCTTATCATGCCTTCCACACATTTTTCATTAAGAATATTCTTCAGTATATTGAATGCAAAAGTGATCAAATACAATAACACATTTATATTAATAATATAATACTTGATAATTGAATATCAATACAATTGAGAGCAAAAACTCTTGAATTTTGAGCTTTGTTCTGTGCACTCAAGTATTGGTTTGATTACTGAATTATTAAACATAATAAAAATAACCGTAGACAATTTTATAATATGTTACATGTTAATGTATTCCAAATCCAGGCGGCGGCCTGGCACCCACCTTGCACTTTGACATTTTCCCGCCAGGAAAGATCAACAGGTGGTTACCATGGCGACACACAAGCGCGCCGCATCGTGACCTTTCCTTATTCCGATCCCGGTATCCGCCGCCCTTCACAATACACGTTGCCGTAGTGGGTAAGCATTTTAATATGAAAAAAGCATAAAAATTGAAGCGCGGGTAATGAGGCAATTAAATAAAAAAAGCAATACAATACTCTTAAGAAATATAATCATTTTATAAAATAGAAATCTGATAATAGTGGTATCGCCCACGAAAACTATTGTAGAGCTATTTGTCTCAAATAGTTTTTACACAAATAAAGCAATGCCAACAAACAAAGTACGTCAATCGACTACACATAAGAATAAACATGGTGAAAAGACGTTACGTAGCTTATGACCGGTCACATATTTTTAGATTGACTAAATGATTTATTGAAACTACGTAACGATTTAACTATCCAGCCCGGCAGCCGACGTCACGGGATCGCGCGTGCCGGTTAGTTAATTGTAGCATACCCAAAACGGTCTCAATCATCTCGACTAGCGCGTAGTACGAAAGCGGACTGTGATTCAGATTGCAGAGAAAGTGGTGCCGCGAGGAGTGCTGGGCGCGCGACGTGACGCACCGGAGCGCGACGAGCCTCCGCGCCCACGCGTTTAGCGCGCTCACGCCGCCCGCCGCACCGCCATCACTACACTTGTGCGCCCCGCGCTTTTCGCGCGCCTCCCTTTACCGTCGCGACGCCGCGCCATTTTCTCGCGCATGTGGGCGACGCCGCCGCTGCCACCGGCCGAACGACGGCGCTCGACTCGAACGCCATTAACGCGGCCGTCGTGAATGAACGCCGACCTCGACCGGGTGGCTGGCGTCCATTGATAGGGCGCGCGACGGGCGACGACCGGCCGCGGCGCTCGCACGGGGGCGGCTCGCTGCACGCCCTCGCCGCTCGAGCGCGCCTCAGTCGAGGATGTGGCGTTCTCCGCGCGACGACACTCACCGCGTGCAAAATCTGTGTTCATTTATCAGTAGATACTCGTGAGCCTTCGAGTGATTACCGTGCCGTGTATACGTAATTTCCTAAATGTAATATTCTGTGATCGCGTCAATTTCGTTAGGACATAAGTTAGTTAGGCTACTGTTTAAGTAGAAAGCGGCGCACGCGCCACCGTGCACCGTGGAGCCGTGCGTGACGTGGAAGCGTGAAGTGGATGTGAGTGTGCGTGCGCTGCCGCACACGCTGGTGTGGTGTTTACGGTGCGGGGATGCGCTCGTGCGATGCTCTCGGTGATTGCAATGCGTCGCCCGGAGGACGAGGAGCTGGGCGGTCGCGGCGACGGCGACGAGTTCGTGGATATATCACAGATGCAGCTGCTGGTGGAGGCGGGGCCGAGCGGGCTGCATTACGGAGGCCCGCCACCGCCACTCGCGCAGCCCCAGCCGTACGCGCAGCCGCCCGCGCACACTGCCCCTACCACCTCCGTCGACGACCTGTTTGCGCTCTACTTTACACCTACCCCGCATGGAGACCATGCACTAGGTACGAATATTATCCAAGCAAACCGATCTTGTGATTAGATATTTCACGTGTGTACATCAAGACATTATAGTTTTGTTATCACTTATCACTAATACAAATAGGTAACTTTTATCTAACGATTATCACACCGGCTGTAAATCGAACTTCTGACATTGCTAATTAATTAAGCATTTTAAGTTATACTTATATAAAATCTTTCGCATTGCCATGGTCTATTCTACTTATAACAAAAGTGATAATTATAACTTAACCGGTTGAATACGAGTCGGACTCGTGCACCGAGAGGGTCACGTAGAAACCTGTAGGTGGTTAGTAGTAGGTATTTATTAAAAACATTTTTATACGATATAATTAAAAATTTACGTTTTTGCAATTTTTCCTTTATCTGTGCTATAAGACGTTGCTTCGTACCAACTGTAGGTTTTGATTAACTTGCGAATTTCGAAAACTTGCGGCATAAACGACTGTTTCTTTTGATTGGCTTAGAAGTTTGATTTTTTCACAGCTCCAAGGGGCAGTAGACCTGAGTATTTGATATAATTTTCAGCTTGATACCTCGACGCAGACGGTCAACAAAGTGATCCTATAAGAGTTTCGTTTTTTCCTTTCGAGGTACAGAATCCCCAAAAATACTATGTAAATGCCAAGCTATTTTCGTCAAATTAATGACAAATTAAATAGAAGTTTAATCAAAATTAAAAAATCTCAAATTTCAAATGGTTAACTATCAAAACTACTGAAAAGATTCAAGCCTTTGTTGTGCTATAAAATTTCTATGAATAAAATCTGCCAGATTAAGTTTCAACTTACTCTTTGAAAGCTCAAGAACAATAATGTTGTCATTAAGTCGTTTAAACTTTATATTAATAACAAAAGACAAATTGCAGTTTTCTTGTTCCACATGGTCCTATGAAACTAGTTAACATTGAAATGCTCTAGGAATGTTATCTGGGGCTCCTTTTATTTATTTAGTGAATTATTTCCTTCCTTTTGACATTTTGTGTGCAGAAAAATAACATTCAATTTGATCATTATGAGTTTTGTTCATATTACAGTCATAATAATCTAATAAATAGAAGTTCTTGACTCAAACCTACTTTCATCTTATACGTTAGTAAAACACCCGATAACATAGATCTGTCATCGTAATTTGCATTTGTAACCCGTTTAAAATTCACTTTGGTACTTATAAATTATTCTACATAAAGTTAATTTCGTGTCTGAAAAGAGCAATCTTTAATACCTACTCTTTAACTTAAACAGCTCACCATAAAGTCCAAATTTTAGTCAAACTTAATTTCGCATTCTCGTCGAAAACTTATCATGATAATAATAAATTTATTCCTTCATGAACAATTCATGACAATATTAACAAACCCGATAAAAAATAATCAAAAAAAGAACAATTATGACCTTGCATTGTATTTAAAGTACCTATAGTACTGTCCAATAAGTGTCATTCGAACTCGTAATAATTCGGATCAGCGTTCCGCATACAGTTATCTGGACCGGATGGTCCTAATCGCCTGCGTGCGAGCACCATGGCTATCATGTTCACCCGCTAGCCGTAGACATACGTATTATCAAAATTTTGCGACAGCATTATTGAAACAACTTTAATATTGTTTACCTTAACACATTGAGGTTATTTTATGACGAAATGTTGTATCTAAACATATGTATTATTTATTACTATGGTTTTTGGTCGAGATACGTATTTAAAGATGAAAAAATCGCATTCAAAGAACAAGGTTACTCATACGCATTAACATTACACCGGGCCTTTCTATTTGTCCTCGACTGAAAATTCGGAAAATTATGAATCTTTCTTTTAATTTCTTTTTTAAATCATCTCCTTGATTATTGTCTGTGCTTCAGAGGTAGATCAGGTACCTCCGTTGCATTATAAATTATTGAAAAATGCGTTTTTTTGGAGTCGTAATAGCATTTCGTAAATAGCCAAAATTACGTTTTAAAATAGGCCCCGAGGAATAGAATAGGCCCTCAGGTGTCGTTATTTCGTACGAATAGAACTGTTAAAACCGTCCGATGCGCAGGCGTAAGGGAACGTGAAAGTCTAGACACTGAAGACCTCTGTGGCTGAGTGGCATGCCGATTTCAGGGTCAGCGCTCATCATCTCTTATGTTCGTTTCCCAATTAGGTCTGTATAGAAAATCATTAATTTCTCTGAATTAAAATTATATTATTTTTAAAAATAATTATGGAATATATAAATAAAAAAAAAAGTTTTGCTTTATTTATTTATATTGCTGTATCAAGTCCTACTTCGTGAACTAGTCATAGAAAAATAACCTTTATATCTGAGAACATACCATTGCAAATTATGCAACAATTATGGCACTTACGTCACTACACAATCCGAAAACGATGATTCACTCCTACGATGGATTATAAAAAATAGCTTTCATTAATGATAGACCAAATTTAGCACAGACTCGAACAGTCTCAAGAAACCGGTTATATTTTACTACCATGGAATTTATGTACAAACTAAGTATGTTGATTGACGAATATTAACTAAACCTCAAACCCCAGATCAATATCGTCGATATTATCAATTTGACTCCCTTTGAGATCAATGTGCTCAACTCACTTTAATCACCAGGTTTGATGATTCAGTCGCTAAAAAACAGTCTAGACTAAAGCACGAGCAACAAAACACTCGACATCACCATATTTAAGTATTCTTCATATCAATAACATTGCAAAATAGTACCAAATATTTACTATACCTGCCCTGCGATTCTGGAAAAAACCAAACCCGAATTCGAATTCACTCAGGTGTCCCAATTCATTTCAAAAAGCGGCATCCGCTCAACCTTGGATTGGTAATAACGTTTCGTGACATAAGTGAAGTGAGTTTCGAAATGACATAGGAATAAAATATCTGAGACACGTATATTCGATCAATTTTGTTTTGCATTTTTATGCAAAAAATAAAATCAAAAGAATTTTTACACTAAATGACGTGAATTCGTAATTTGGGTGTGGAATTATACAGAATTACAGGGCCTATATACATACAATATACAAAATTACTTACAGTGCAGTATTCGTGTTTTTTTTTCTTTTCACTTGCTAACGTCGAAGATATTTATAATCACGTGGCCAGTGATATACATAACTTTTTGATATAGGTACCTGGAGTTTAATGACCGATTTTTGTCAATATAAAAATTAAGTTCATTTAGTCTAAAATTCATTTAATATTGTCACAGATACAATTAACTATTTACTATTAAAATAAACATATTAATAAATATTAAATGATAAAGTTTAAATTAAAAAAAGAACGATACTCATACGAAAGATTTAAGTACGGATAACATTTTTTTCCTGTATTTTTACGTACACACGTCTGTACTTCAGGTCACCACAATATGCCAAACTTCTAAACTTTATTTTAAACTCTACCCTCAAAGATTTAAGGTTTAAAATCAAGCGGATAAATTTGGTATATTTGTACAATAAATCCTTCAAAAACTTACCTTTGTACAGGTTAATCGAAATAATTATTAAGTTTCGTTAATTGCTTTAATTTGGGTCCATCATTATTTGTGTAAAAATATGACTATAATAATTTTTATATGATATTTATCAACATATTATATGAAGCATTATACAAAAGAATGAAAGACAGAGACAGACGCGCGATCTGATTCAACGTGAAAATAGCTTTTACCATCACACAAAGCATTCTGGCTTCTACTGATGACAACAAATATTTTATGTATATTTATAAATGTTAATAAATTTCCTTTTTTATAAATCTCTTTCATCATCTATTTTATCTTTAATCTCCTTGATTAAGTGATGAATTTGATTTGAAATATAAGGACTTGGTTTTCTAAAAAGTCATATAAAACAAGAGTTCATGAAATTTTCTCGACAGAATTTTAATTACATCATAGACTTAAGTTTACTGTTACTGTACTTACTGTACTGTACTGACTTAACTATACTGTACTGTACTGACTTAAGTTTACTTAAGTTTTAAGACTTAATTTCTTTTTACATTATTTAATTAAAAATAGATTTATTTCACGATCTTCTGGTGCCTATCATCTCAATATCGGGCGCAATGAGATAGATGGGTACAGTTTTCACGCCAACCTTAATTGATATTTGAATTGAAAACTCTTTCTCATGGTGTGATGTGAAATAAACTTAGTTATAGCTTTATCAACAAACTTTGCCCTCATAAATTATACGAGTAGCATATGACACCCGTATAAAATGTCCAGTAGTTTCGAAATCTATACAATGCAATCAACAGTCCAGTAAAAGCGTTTGAAAAACAAAATTTCTATACTTTCACACAACAGCGTTTAAATATCACAAAAAATATAATTTGTTAAAATATATCTTAGGTGGTTTAAAAAGAAACCAAAATGCTTTATCAGAGCTAAGAATAAATTTCACAGCTCATTAAAAAAACCATAATTAGTAGTATGTATGTAAACCTATATTTTTCTGTCTTCAAAGTGATCGAAAGTATTGCCAGAGTTATAGCATTAATGGTATTTAGCATCCACTTAGAGTTGATTCCACCAATCGTTCCACCACCATTTATATCTAAAAAAAGAATTCACTTATTTTATTCATCGTACATATAATATATTTTATGAAGATGGTAAATTTTTCAGAAAAATAATAATAGTTTTAATTAACAATAATATACAATAAAGAACATATACATATTTTTTAACAATACTTATAAGTAAGAGATATTTGATAGCCCGAAAGAGCAATTTTCATCAAAAAATTAGAAAATATACCTACTACTGGATATCAATTTAATGACAAATAATCTTAGCAGAAGTCACTCCGAGAAAAACCTTGTGATTATTTGTAAAAAAAAAATTTTTTTTTTTTTTACAAATAATTTACAAATAAACAAAAGGTCTTAACCTATTTTCAGCAAATACTTTGACTTCGAAAATATCGAGTACAATATACGTGTAAACTTTATCATTAGCTTATTAATGGGGCACAGGTCTTTTCTGCTGATGAAAATGAAAAACTCCAGAATGAATAAATCAGAATATGCTTATTGTAAGCACTTTTGAACCGCTCATTATTTTCCCTACCACTCACTCAAGACGTATTTTGGTTGTCAAGAAGAACGAGAATAAGTAACTTACTAGCTCTTTATTAGAAGTAACGACATTTACATATATGATGACAATCAAAATAGTATGTATGATAATTTTCAATCTCTCTAGGACATAGTCTCAGAACATACAAAAGCTATTAATATATTAAACCTATTATTCCAAGCATTACGATACTTAAAATAAACATCGACTTTATTAAATAGAGATTAGAAATCATATATTTTCTGATACAAATTATTTTCATACATCAAAAATATACACTTTTTAAGATATATATTCAACTTAAATGAATATCTTTAAATTTGATAAAGACGAACTCAATTAATATTTTGTCTACATTCAATTACCATATTTAAGAATTGATATAGATATTTTAGATTTCGACATGACTGCACAAAAATTGATTAGTAAGAACCTTTTGTTGTTCACTTAAACATTTTATATCCATACAGGAATATACATAAAAAAAATATCTATTGACAGACTTTTTCAAACGTTTAAATGAAACAATTTTATACGGTTTCAGCGCGTAAAAATTAATAGTGCGCATGAAAATATAAGAAATCAGTATTTTTCAAACAATGTTCTATTTTTTAATAATTATTGGATTAAACTCAATCAATGTACCTACATTTGACGAGATAACTGTTGAACATTACTAAAGATACGAACACACCGAACTCTTTTCCATTTCGTAATGGCTTAAAAACGCCTAGCAATTTCCAATTAATAATTTCTGAAAATCTTCAATATACCATCATAAAATAATGGAATTCGTAGAATCGAACACTGATATACTATACCTAGATGAGTTAGCGTGAAATAATTATGTGAATTGATGACTGATAATACCTCCATATTTATGTAAATATTGTCTGTAAACAGCTCAGACAACGTAAATATCTGAAAACAGGCGGAGTTATAATGGAATAGACGGCTAAAAGGTTCAGCTCCGCCTTATACAATAGAAAGTTTTTTATATAGTCTGGGGGCTGCGCCAATCATAGATATTATATTTTTATCTGAATATTTAGTAGACGAAGCTAATTATGAGACTCCACCTATTTACTTAGATGCAACAATCTAAGAAATTTAAATTTTGCACTAACATTTTTCAAAGTTACTTTATATAATATCATAAGTATGCAATAAGTACCTATGCATTAATGAATACTTATATAAAATTCATAATCACTACTAAAAAACCTGTAGTTTGTTATTAATTTTAAGTTAAATGATAAGCGGTTGTAAGATAATTGTCCAAGTTTCCCCAAAAAGCCAAAATAAACAAAGACAAAGTAAACGTAATATATGTACATTATTCAAAC